TACAAGGGTTTCCACCCAGGAATGACTGAGCAGGATGTGTTAGCCTATACTACTATGAACTAAAGCTGCCTGCAAAAAATGTTGATTAGCACAAATAGGCCCTTACACATGGCTTTTGGAACAGGAGCTGGGGACTCTGAATGGCATCACCCTGTGTTGGTTTAACTCTCCAACTCACTTAGCACTACTCAGTATTGCTGCAGCAAGACACTGCATCGTGTTGTGAGGGATCTTTGGTCACAGGCCTTTTCTGTTCCTGTAAATAGCAGAATAAGGTCTGCTGAAGTGTATTTTCATCACTCTGGAGGCTGTTGTGAAACTAAACAAATTCTGAACATAAAAAGCACTCTCAAATATTCATTATTTTTAATGATTGCAAAATGATAAGGTAGTAACTAACAGAGTTAAACAGAAGAAAATGCTGTAAATTATATACTAATCCTCTGTATGCCTGAATTAAAGGTACAAGTAGAATATTTCCATTACCTCAATTTTTGACAAAGTCTGCAGTCAGTTCTTCAAATTCTGCTTATTAATAGCACCTTTTAACACATCGAGCAAATTAACAAGCAGAAAATGCTGGTGGCAGATTAATGGTGTCCATTAGTCTGCAAATTTCATCTCTTATTATTGAGGGGAAGACAGTGAGTTACAGCTGTTGCAGTTTATAATGATGATGATGATGACTTACATTATTATGTACCTTCACAAACAAGCTTGAAATCCATGTTGAGGGCGCTGGTTGAGTGTGATTCTTGACAATGAAAAAAATAGTAGTGGACCATATGTGTGATTTTGTTGAATATGCTGATTTTTCAACTAACTCGAGATATTCTGTGGGTTCATAATTTATATACAAATGCACTCAGATTAAATGTAATCCTAGACTGCACTTCTTCAAATGCAGCTTTTCAAAGACGTGAAAAAACAGTCTCAAAGCATGAAATTCTGCAGTTAAATTAACTGACATCCCAAGCAAAGAGATATTTGGTTTCAATGGAGTTTGCCGAGCGTTGCAATTGGGGAAGTCTACAGAAACAAATTATTTGCAACAGCTCTTTAGCCCACAGATGTTCTGAAACAATATCTGTGACTCACAAAACCATTCATGGACGCAGGCTTCTTCCACTGCAATTAAATCTGCTCTCTTAGATATGGATAAGAATCTCAGGAAATCTGGGATTTGGGCAGCTAAAACTCCCGTGCTCCAAATATGTTCATCTATGCTCTGTCCTGCACCTCTCACTTCAGCAAATTATGAGCAGATATGTGTCAAGGCTTATGAATACATTTTCTGCTTTAGTATTATATGAGAGTCACATCACAAAGGAGAAAAGTTGTTTCATGAAATGGGATTAAGGTGATGCATTCCGTTGATGTTTAGTAAATTTGTTCAGGAATGTGTGCATCACTGTAAAATGATGATTAACTCATAGTGGCTAGTAGCTTTACTTGGCATTGCTAGCTCTGCTATGGGCTTGCGGGTTTTTTTCTGTTTACCTGTCAATCATAGCTTCATTTACGATAAATACTCGTGTTAACTGGACATGAATTCTCCTTTAAAGGCAGCGATTTGGTGAACTGAAAAGGATTCCAGGGCTGATAGGAATTGCAGACACCCTGCTAGGTTACAGATGTAGAAAAGCTCACTTCCAGAGCCTCTTATCTGGACAGTGCAGCTTTCAGAGACATTTGTGCCTTCTGGACCTAGAGACATAAAGTTGCATAAATAACTCCAGCTTCGGTGCTTCAAGATAGGCTAAAGACATTAATGGACTTTTTAAAAAGGGAAACTGACTGACTGCTTTTTTAGAAGAAAATTGATTTTTTTTCCCTCAAAATTGAAGGAAAATAAAAGAACAAGAGAAACTCTATAATTGTGTTAGTTAACTCTGCTGTTAACTCTGCAATTTAGGTACATGGATGTAGGGCAATTATTTTTTTCTGTTGCTTACATGAAGAGACCCGTTTCACACTGCAGAAAAGTGATGTAGATCCTAAAATCCGGTTTTGTGATATATGCGCCAGAAAATTCGCAACAGGCTAGCACTCTGCTGGCTTGATGTCCCAACAGAATCTGAGAGGACACAGTAGTTTGTACAAGGTGACAAAAATCCCATTGACAACAAAAGAGCAAGAGCAAAGCAAAGGAACCATTTGGTCCAAGTGGTCTGGCTTGTCCCTCCTCAGGAAGCAAGGCTAGAGTTCAAAGTTTTATCCAAATTCTTTCTCGGTGAATTTCCATTAGTTAGAGTCTTCTGGGTTTAAGTGACCGTGCTTCTTCCACTCTTAAAATACATTGATGTAGAAGATGATGCTCTAATCATGGCTTTCCCAAATCTACTTGACATTAATAAACTAAATCCCTTCGTTCCCTCATGCCACAGTTTCCCACTTGGTAACTCCTGATCTGAGATCTCTGCTCATAAAATGCACAGTGAAGGACATTTGTAAATAACAATGTTTGACTAGTGATCTGCACATCGTACTGTCTGGTGAAAATAAATTATGAGAAATAATACAGATTATTTCAGCCAAATATGGTTCTTAGTTATATTTATAATTTGACAACTTCATGCACATATAAAATACAGCAAACTCATAATGAAAAGAAGCAGACAATGCCCCCCAAATATACAAAGAAGCATTTTAAATAACATTGTCTGTGTACAAGCACATTTGTGCGTATCCTTCCAAAACACATTGTCACTCTTTCTCTTCTTCCATAGATGTCATAGCACTCTTTGAACCAGACCTTGTAGTTCTGAATTCTCACGGGCATTACAACCATGAAAGTAGCAGGATGTGAGCTAGAAATTTAAATTTTCAAAGGTAAATGAAAGTTTAATGCAATTCTTCACATGTAACCACTAAAGGGATGGGGAGCTAAAAATACACACTCTTATATTAAATCAAGAAGTCTGATTTGCGTATCGCATGATTTCCACCTGAAATCTCAGAGACACAAAGTTATATTTGTTTCATCAGGTTGTGATGCTGTTATTCCTTTCTAATAGTCCATTAATTGTACATTTGGCACTAACTACTAACAAATGAATCAGAAAAAATAAAATATAACTCCCATTACTGTTGAAAAGAAATGGACTCCATAATTCATCAGAAAAGGATTTGAATGGTGTTTTAACAGCTTTCCATCAAGGATACCAGAGAAGATTGTATATAGAACTAAGTATAAATCATGGATGCTCGTTCTCTGTACGTTCTCTCTGCCACAGCTGTCAGTGCTAGCACTTTCCATATAACTGTAAACAGAGGCTCCTAACTGCAACTAACTTCCATTAAACTGTCATGGAAAAGTGAATTTATGCAGCCTCCGGTATCAAAGTTAGCAACTGCATGAATTCATTCAAGTGTCTGGTGCCATCTCTTAGTCAGGTGTTCCAGCTACAGAAATTGTGACACCTTGAATACCTTGATTTCCTTAATATAAGTGGTGGATGGAAAGTTTTATCTGCTGTTACACTGACACAAAGTGAAACCCTGTTTTCCTCATGCTTGGTTGCTGCCAGTGCACCCACGGGCTCCTTTCAAACAGTGAGACAGTCTCTGTTCCCAGAGAAGCACAGCAACACTCACCGGTCCTGCCAGCAACTGCGAGATCCTCTCACACACAGCCTGTTTGGAAACACTGAGTTAGCACTGACTGCTGTGCTTGTTAACACAGCAAACCCAATAAATCTCTGTTATCCAGGCTGTTAATTCCCACGAAGTCTAAATTCTGTTTCCTTATTAGAAATTTTAGCTCAACGTGAAGCTCTTTGTGGCTGGTTGAATCTTTTGTATATTTTCTTGGTGGCATCAAAATCTGTATCAGCTTGGCTATTTCTCCTACTGGCATCATTTTCTCATTAGAGGACTTAAACAATGAGTTTTGACTAATTTGTGTTTATAATTTCCTTATCTTTTTTTTTTCCTCCAATTTAAACCCAAATTCAATTCATATTGTTATATTAGACTTCTAAAGTAGTTAAACTCTATTTTTCTACATTTTCTTTATCTGATTTCTTGTACTTAAAGAAAGATTATTTTTTTTTTTTGACAGGCATACATTGTAAGTGATTTATTTTTTGATCTCCTCTCCCAGTGTCACTCACGAGAGCAGCAAAGTAGCTCATTCGTCCAGAAATCCCATATCAGGAAAAGCTTTACCTGGCGCAGACCCTGAAACTACAGACACACACCTACATAATGCTGATCTTGTTTGTGATCTACATCCTAACTTTTTACGACTGCATTTTACCTCAAAAGTACGTTAACAACATAAAGCATTGCTTACTTTAAATTCTGTCTTTCCAGTATAAATTACTTCCAACACTGCCTTATAAATCTGTCGATTTAGCACATGGAGACTAGAAGTGTGTGCTGAAAACAGAGCAGCTGTGGATCTGGGGAATACTTTGCTATACACATTTCTCCAGAAAACAGGTAACTTCGATTTTGCTTTTTGCCACAAGAGGGCACTCCCTCAATTCGTGTCATTACTAAGGCAATGTCCTTTATTAGAGACAAAATAGACTCGTTTACTATTTATCTAAACCATTATTCCAAGATTTTGTATAGAGAAGTTGAAGAATTTCATTCTGTTTGTGTTCTCAGCATGCATTTGATTTACATCAAGTTACTAGGCAATATCATTTAGCTGTGAGAGCACATTGTGCTTCATAAATGACTGATAAGACAAAAAATGGTGGGAAGTAAATAGGATTTCCCTTCTTTATCTTTAGAAGTAGCAGTACACTGTATTAACACAACTCATTCTCAGTGATAAAGTCAGACAGGTCACAATCAAAAGGAAAGATCTTCAGATGTGCCACTTTCAGAAGCATGAGAAATTTGTGAAACAAAGAAAAGGTATGTGTTACGTTTTTCATCCACTTGTGAATGAAAATTTGTTAAATATGTCATCATGTGCAACAATATACAGCGCAAGCATGGTCCACACAGGGAGCTGATTCAAGCACTCAAAGTCTGAAGATTGTCATGTCCTCTGTAATGCAAAACTCTGATTGCATTGACCTACTGAAATTGAATAATTAAGAAGATTTTGTTTAAAATGCTTCTAAACAGTCATCATAAGTGTACAGTATAACTTATCATAGCATTTTTGTTTTCAGTCCTGATATTTTATATATATATGCCTGTACCATTTACCAAACTCAAGACTGATTTCTCCCTCTTACTTAAGTCCAAATAAAATTTCACTCAGAAACAGTGGATGGATTTTGTCCATCAAGAGTCAGCTATGTTCCTGGGTAACCGGTAATGCTCAGGTCTGATCCTTGCCTTCTTCTCCTGAGGGTTGGCGTATTTCCACTTGGATGGAGACATTTTCAGCTTTTTTCTCTTCTTATCTGTACACCACACTTTTTCACAGTATTCTTCCACCCTCTGGAAGTTGCTGTAACCTATTAGTTGAAGAAATTCTTTGTACCATGGCTTTGACGCCTGAGGTATACTGCTCTGCATTGGACATGGCATTTTGTGAGGTATCTCCTCCTCATAGTCTTTATTGAACATTTCATCTACGCGTTCTTCCTCGACTATTTCCAGGGTGATTTTCCTGACAGTGTGAACAATGCTGTGCTCCTCTGTCTGACAAAAATACGTCCCTGCATCCAGGCGATGCAGTTTCAGGAATAAGAGGCCAAGGTCCATTTTGATTATTCTATCATCTGTCTTCACCTGAAAAAGAAATTGAGTACAGTCCTTTACTGCTATATTTAATCAGTGCAATTGCTTCTGAATTGTACTTTCATGAATAAAATATTAAATCGTGAGAGGAAGATTAAAGATCTATGATCCTTTAATTCACAGTTTTTAAGTATCAAAAATATTTACTTGAAGTAAAGAAGAGATTAAGCTGTGAAAAGAAGGTCTGGAGAATCTGGCAAGCGTAGAAAAACAGATAGTGGAGCACATAGTTTCCTGTTTCCCCAGCATGGATTAGTCTGTTGTAGCTAAATCACAGAGGGAAATAAGGTTGAAACATGCAAATAAACTACTGTATGGAAAACAAATGGGTATTCACCAGCTGACCTGCAACAAGTGTCCTTGTGAATTCTCTTATACATTGACAAATGGTTTTGAGGCAACATTGATAAGAATTTGTATACCTAACTGCAGGACCATTGCAATTTTAAAACCTCTGAGTTCCATGTTTGGTGTCTGAGTTCCCCCTACAGCTCCCGAGAGCTAGGTTATTAACTGTGAGGCATCAGCAGGCTCTAGCAAGCATGGAGCACTGAAATGTCTAATTGAAGCAACAGAAGTTCCCAGGAGAATGGAATCCTCATATTTCCATTTAACAATAAAGTGCTGAATATTAAGCAGAAGAGAAATTCTGGGTGTTGAATGGATTGAGAGCAGCGCTGAAGGGAAGGACTTGGGGATACTAATGAATGAAGAGAAGGATGAGAGTTGGCCGTGTCCACTTTCATCCCAGAAAGCAAATCACATCCTGGACTGTGTCAAAATAGGTGTGGCCAGCAGGTCAAGACAGGAGTTTCTCCCCATCTACAGTTCCCCTGCAGTACTGTGTTCAGCTCTGGGGTCCTCAGTACAAGAAAAACATGGACCTGTTGGGAGTGAGTCCAGAGGAGGGTCCTGAAGATAATTAAGGAGCTGGAGCACCTCTCATGTGAGGCCAGTCCAAGAGAGTTGGGGTTGCTCAGCCTGGAGAAGAGAAGGCTCCAAGGAGACCTTATTCTGGTCTGTCAATGCATAAAAGGGGCTAATAAGAAAGACCGAGAGACACTTTTTACCAGGGCATATAGTGATAATAAGAGGTAATATTTTTAAACTGAAGGAGGATATATTTATATTGGACAGAAGGAAGAAATTTTTTACAACAGTGGTGGTGGGACACTGGAACAGATTGCCCAGCAAAGCTGTGGCTACCCCGTCATTGGAAGAGTTCAAGGCCAGGTTGCATGGGGCTTTGAGCAATCTGAACTAGTGGAAAGTATCGTTGAGCATGGCAGGGAGTTGAACTAAATGATCTTTAAATGTACTTTTCAACCCAAACCATTCTATGATTCTATGACTTTATTATTCTACTTCTCTCTGCTTTTATTTTTCTTTTTCTAACAATTATACACGTATTCATGAATAATGGAATAACTTTCAGGGGGAAACATTAAAACAAATTCATCCTAGCAGTATAAAGACATACTGAAAAGCTAGATTCTATTCAAATTTGCACTCCTGGTATCCAATATCTGAGTTACAGGACCTAATGAGATGTGTATACAGTGTGACATTCTTCCCACTTCATTTAATACCTTTTGTGAAAGACCTGATTAGTAGTTCTGTTGTAAGAATGATTATGCACAGATAGATAGGTACATGAAAAAATACTAAGTGTGAAAAAATATGCAGAGATTTTGGACTTGGACAAAACTTCAGGTAGAAATGTGTCTGAAGTGGGGATAGAATTCATCTTACTTAATATTACATATTTAAAGCAGAGTGTGGCATCCTTGGATATTTTTATATTCAGTGGTTTACTAGTAATGTTTTAACTGACCAAATGAAGCTATCTAGTGTAGCATGAGGTGACACCACTGGCTATAACTGCAGCAACATCTAGTCTGTCTTCAAAGGCAGCCTGAATTGACTAGCTCCTCGGTGGGTTTCATTATTATAAATGTCCACATTTTTTATCAGATGAGTCCCATTCCAGAGATTTGCAGATATCTATGGCTATTGTGGGATCTCATGTTTGCAGTAGAGCCTAGCTGCTAGGCAGTATGGCAACCAGCCTTAGGTAGTCTGAGGCTTTTCTCCCTATATCCTTCCACATAGTTGAGGAAGAGGGGCTGCTCAGCAGAAAAGGATCTAGGGGTGCTTGTGGACAGATGGCTGAACATGAGCCAGCATTGGGCCCAGGTGGCCAAGAAGGCAAATGGCATCCTGGTCTGTACCCAAAAGAGTGTATCTAGCAGGAGTAGAGAAGTGATCATGTGCCTGTACTCAGCACTGGTGAGGCCACAGTTTGAGTACTGCATTCAGTTTTGGGCACTGCAGTACAGGAAGGACACTGAGGTGCTGGAGCAGGTCCAGAGAAGGGCAGCGAAGCTGGTGAGGGGTCTGGAGAACATAAATTATGAAGAGCAGCTGAGGAACCTGGGACTATTTAGTCTGGAGAAGAGGAGACTGAGGGGAGACTTTATCACTTTCTACAGCTACCTGAAAGAATAGTAAGGTGGGTGTTGGTCTCTTCTTCCAAGTAATTAGCAATAGGAAGAGAGGAAGTGGGCTCAAGTCACACCAGGGGAGGTTTAGATTGGGTATTAGGAAAAATTTCTTTACAGAAAGAGTGGTGAGGCATTGGAAGAGGCTGCCCAAGGGAGTGGTGGAATTGACATCCCTGAAGGTGTTCAAAACAAGTGTAGATGTGGCACTTCAGGACATAGTTTACTAGTCATGGAATTATTTGGTTGACAGTTGTACTAGATGATCTTAGAGCTTTTTTCCAACCTTAATGATTCTATGAAGCTATGATTCTATATTAAGTGGGATTAGCTACACTGATGTGTACCAGATGTGTATTGAGGAATAAATATAGCAACACTTATGAAGCACTTTCATAATAGAGATATATATGTGAAAGGGGCAGAGAATCCACTAATATCATTTTCAGAAGGTTCTGTAATGTAATGGGTGAAGCAGCTCGAAGGAATAGATGTTAAGCTAGACTGATGTTGGGAGTAGTATGTGCACATTTCACTTCTGCAATAACATACCAAGTGAAGTGGTGGATTCTCTTTTATTTTGAGATCTTAAATCAAGTTTCACTACGTTTCTAACATCTGTGTTCAAGATGCTGACTGCAAACACCAGATGAATTTCTCAGGTCTATTAATTTAAGAGAGCAGATGAACATAATTATTTTTCCTGACGTCCGTTTACATTTCAGGAACTGATGACAGACCTTTAGTGAAGATGTAATATGCCTAACAGCGGACTCCTTCAGTTAAAAGTGTAGTGTATAAGAATACTTACCTCTTCCTTCTTAGTTTCATGTGCTCGTTGGACAAACCAGATTACTTTTGCTTGTAAGGTCCGAGGGGTGCACTCCAGAAGGGTGCTGTTGTACTCTATCCCATAAACAAGTCGCTCCTCAGTCTTCTCCAGGACTTCACCTGGAAGGAAAACAAACATTTCAGCCCTGTTGTTTCTTATCGCTGCCCCTTCTTTTCACTTGTGTTACTGTTGGAAACCCTAGGGATGCATTAGCCACATCCCTAATCTGAATAACAGAGCTTCAGGACTACATAAATGCTATAGGATGTGCCTGACCTGCCATTGAAACAAAGTCATTCTTAGACCTGGATGGCGTGGGCTCATCCTCATGACCCTTATGACTTAATATAGGAATATGCCAGTAAAAAAACTCAGGTGAGATCATAGTTTGGCTCATACTCTTGGTAAATTCTCTGCTCTCTGCTCCAGGCATTAGCTAGCAATTTGTGAACCTGTGAGTAGATTACCAATAAACTGCTGGCCAAAGCACTGCTGCGCTGCATTTCCATGTCGAACATCTTGTCTGCGGAAACGTCTGGAAGGGGAAAAAAAATAGATTTTTTGAGACAATATGCTTAGTTTACAGATTGTTGGGTTTATGCTAAAGTGACATTCATTAAAAACATGAGATAAATTTTGATTCCTAAAAATATATCACTGTTGTGAGAAGTATTTATTTATACATCAGTATTTTCTTGCTGCTTAACCTACTGGGAATCACACATCTGAAAAAAAGAAACATGCTTATCTGGGGAAGACGAACAATTATGTGTCCAGTTTATATATAAGTACACTGATGTTACAAATATTAAAACAAGATCCTCTGAACTAGCTGGGCAGCATTTCGTGCTAGGAGAATTTAGAGAGACCTTTAGCCTGTTTTTGACTTCTTTCTTTCTGGAAGCCAAGGAAATTTTCCTTTTTTAGTTTAGAGCAGTTTGCCATGTATGTGGATGTTAGTTCTTTTATGCTTCACTATCATGTTATTTTTTTCACTTGGAAGTCTCAAAGTGCAGAGCAAATAACAGATGTTATTACATCTGTGTAGCAAACACCTTTTAAACTCATTTTTCTCCATAGAGAAATGGATGTATTCATGACTTGCCCATGCCCAGAAAGTGAGCTAGTGGCAGAACTGTGGTCAGAACCTGGGAGCCCTGTCTGCAACCTAGAAATAATGCAATTGCTTTTGAGAGAAAAATTGCTGAGAGTTTTGGGCTTTGGTTTTTTTTATATACATTTACAGAAAAATTGCATTTCCAGAAGAATTGTACTTTTGTATAGCAACATTTTTTTTCTAAGCATTCTGATAAATAAAATTAACATTGCTTGCCAGGGAAACAAAAGAGCCTATTGGAATGTCATATCTTGCCAGAGGTAGTATTTCTAACAACCCAAAATTTAGTTATACTAAGGATACTTTTCCTATATTTGCATGAAGAGTAATTCTACACAGCATTATCAATACCACACATAGCAGCTTAACAGAAATATGCAATGCAGCAAATCTTACACAGCAGGTATGTGTACAGTATAAATCATACATGATAGAAACAAGTAAAGCAAAGCAGTTTTGTTATTCTTTTCATTTTCTACTTAAATAATGCTTTTCTCCACTTCTATATGAACACAAAAGCCAGAATTTTTATTTGACACAAATTAAATTTACTGAAACTATGTAGATTTACACTACTTAGAGTTCTTGCCCATGGATGCTGCTTATCACATGTCTAAAGTGGCAGTAGACAGTGATTATTTTCTGAGTTCTGTCATCCATATGGCTCCAGTGGTACTGGTGGACCAAGAGGAGAGCTTGAACCTTTACTAATAATCAGAGAAGAACCAATGTTTAAAAATTACTGTTTCACAGGAGTCTGCAAATTCAGTGAGGATTGGATTGGGACTTTTACGCAAAAGTGCTAAAACTGCATGCCCATTATTAAACAAAAATTGAAATTCTGAGATAGCAAAAGGGTTTCATCATGCTCTGGGAGTTCTTCTTGAAGCATATTCTTTCAGTTGTTAGAACTATTCAAGAAAAAGAAAGGTTTATTTGATGAAATTTTCCTGTTGTATGAAGATTGGGGAAAATGCATTTATCAGTGCCTTCACTTGCTCTGTTTTCGAGGAGAAGGAAAAAATGGGTACAGATGCTGAAAAAAAGGGAGGTGCTTGTAGATAATCTTCTTTCACAAGTACTGGCATAAGCCTCATATATTTTATTTTTTCTTAATAATCATTTCATTCAGAATTCTATGAATAATAGAGTACCAGAAAATTCCTGACATAAACTACTATAAGGAACAATTTACAGTGACTAGCAAACATACTGACTGCATGAAAGTATCTTTTGCAATCTATATTTTCATGAATTTAGATTTCAATCTGCAACTCTGTGCTTTCAAGAACTCAGTAAAAATTATCTGTAAAAAAAGCAATACAGTCATCATTGTCATCACCATCATCCTCATGTTTATTATTTCCCAGGCGTAGATGAGGCACAATTGAAAAGACTCAGGGAGAAAAGACATTGTTGTGGTTTGTGTAAGAGAATCAGTAGACAGAGTTTGGGTTTATTACGGCAGAGTGACATTTGGGTTAGTACTGGGATTTGGCTGCAAGGTGAAGGCAGCCCCTTAACTGCCCCACCCTGCCCTGCCCCTTCCAGCACGGGCACCTGATTGCGTGCAGGCAGCAAGGAGGACCAGAAGGCTTCAGAGTAAAAAAACCCAACAACATAGATTTAGAAAAAAATCCGTTAGGAGCTCTGCTGCTAACCATGAGAGACGAAGAACATGTTGGTGGGGCAGGTGGTGGAGAAAGAGGCTAGAGAGGAACAGTAGGTGGGAGGGAGCATCTTTAAACTAGCTGAGGAATCACAGGTTACTGGGCCTACCCAAACTGAAAGAAATTTTAAAATTACTTCAGCCCCTGGGTTATGAGCTGGCATAGCAAAGAATCTCACTTGTAGAATTTAGTGCTTGTTTAAATAAAAATTAAACCTGCCTAAATTACATTGCCGAGGTGATAGTGGACTAAAGCATTTGTTTAACTCCTGGACTGCTCTGCTTTCTCAAGCATACTTCACAGAATTTGAATTTTCCACCTGGCATTTTAAGTACTTGCAGTATGCAGGAGCTGTACAGCTGTAACTACAAGGAAATTGTAGTAAGCTGCATTGCCAGCATAAAGATATAGAATTTGAGGCCTAATCTTTATTTGTCGTTAATTAAATCCTGTATTTAATTAACTATTCAGGCTATGCATTTGCAAGGAATTATAATATAGGATTTCAAAACTCAACATATTAGTACCAGCTGTCAAGCAGAGGAGGTTTTGTATTTATGTTGCAGTTCTCTCTACATTGTGTACATGCTTGGGTTTACAGTTTTTATATTTCATGTTTCTCTAAACACTTCTCATACCTTGGAAGCATTAGGATCTAAAGCAGAGAGAATTTGAATCGAAGCGTGGAGGTCACATTGTACATCCCTTTTTTAGTTCAAATCTTCACCTGTAGGACTGGGATTATAAAGACAGCTCTTTGCAGTTCTCTTGCTGCCCGCTTAAATGTACTCTCTGAGGGCCACATTTGAGCAGATAGTGGTGGCATTAAAGCTGGATCAAGTGTGCTGTAACGTACTTACATTGCTTGTACTACCCTGTATAGCTCGAACAGAAATCTGGAGCCCTGAGACAAGGCCAAATCAAGGTGTGTCTGCTCTGGGACATTGCATTAATTGTACCTGGAGGCCAGGGCAGCCATGGCAGGGTTATTGACTGTTCAGGGTCACTTGGTGTCAGAAAAACTCCAGGCTGTCTACGGACAACTCCCTTTTCCAGCAGTCCTCTCCACCTGGTACCCAGCAGAAGGCAACTTAAAACTTCCATACAGACATCCCAAGTAGCTCTCCCTGCCTCTTCATGTACCACAAAGTTAGTGTGAGCTCATAGGTTTAAAACCCTCTGAGCTTATGAGTTGAAGTGAACAAAGAAAATACCATCCTTCCCTCTCAGCATTATTAGTTCTTGCAGGCTATTCCCCAAAGTCTTATATGTAAAACAAGTTTTGCAGGCTTCAAGAACATTCAATTGAGTGCAAATCCCTTCTCCACTGCTGCAGTGCTTATCTTAAGAGAAGTAGGGTGATAACAGCAGTATTTTCTCGTTTTAGAGACTGACCTGCTGAATGTTGGGGACGTAAGGCACAGGAAGGTGCCTAGGGTGCAGCCCATATCACTCAACCCTGGATAAATGTATGTGTCAGGGGACTTAAGGGCTGCTACTCTGGAAGTTGTCTTAGGTGAGAAACACGCTAAAAATGTACAAGAGTTCAGGACAGAATGAGTTTCTCTTATCTTTTCTTAGAAAATAAGTAGCCTGCAGAGCAATGTAAATGCTGATAGAGTCCTAAAAGGCTGCTGGGAAATTTTTTAAACGCCTTCCTTCCTAAATGACTTTTGCATCACTAGATGAGTAACCCATATGCTTTGTTATCGTAAACCAATTTCTACTTATACTGTAAGAAATTAATTGTCCTGGCCCGCTATATAGCTGCTCATCTTTCTCAATCTGGGGTCTGAAAGTTTTAGCCAGACTTTTCTTAGATTAAACAGACAAGCAGAGCCCACTCCTTCCCTTAGGGCTGCTTACAAGAGGCATGAGAAGTTCAATCCTGCTTGTAAAAGTGGCATAGATTTCTTATTTGCTTTAACCTGTTCTTTAGTGTAATAAGTCCAAGAGATTCTTAACTATGCTGACTTATTGGCTGTGTTTATTGGTTTTATATTTTAATGTGCTTTATCTAAAACTTTGGGTTACCTAGTGTTTTCTCTGTTTATTATCTTTTAGAAAAATCCAGAGGAATGTCTGTTATGTCTCACTATAGTCAGTACTGCATTTTTTAGAGTACACAGGTTGATGGAAAGATAAGGCATACAGGAAAAGAAAAAAAGAAAGACAAAACTCTTTCTTTTTTTTTTTATTTTCCTTAAGAAGCACTAAGCAGTTTGGGGTACTGTGACTTCCTTTCGACTGAACCACCACTGAAGTTTTTCAAAATTGTCTCCAGAAGTTGCTCAGTTCATTCTAATCTTTGCAGTCCATGTCAGTCTAATATATGTAAGAATATATTTGCAGAAAAACTAATTGTGAAAAAGGCCACAGAAAGGATTTGAACTATACACTGCTAAAGTTTTGCTAAGGCTAGAATTTACTTCTCTATTGGCAAAGGTGACTCAAAGTCTTGTGAAAAGGTCTGAATTAGAATATGTATGTTCTAGATGCTTGATCAAGTATCTGTGTAACTGGAGAACCTGGGTTTAAGAGGGGAGGGAAGAGGACAGCTTTATGGGATTTTGCTGCACAAAAGAGTGAAGGCCAAGAGCTGTGAGTAAGTGAATGGTGATAGAGAGAAATCTCCTCAAGGGAAGAATTAAAGCACTCGGATTAGGTTCATGCTTTGAACTGGCCTATAGAGTAATTTGTCTTTATAAATTCACTGCAGAAACTCTAAGTCTAACCTTGGCTTTTGCAGATATTCTGGTTTCATTTTGGCTGGTGAAGAATAATATTTATTGCTTAAAACTTACTGCAAATAAATACTAACTGACTTTATTTCATTCCTAAAAATATTCCTGGTGTTGATGCTGGTGCCATCCCATTAGTTTGGCGTTCACAGCTAACATCTCCTCACTGCTAGTTATGTTTATGGGGGGGGGGTTATGAAGTACTTTGAGCAGCAGCAGAAACTCTGTAGCTAGTAGCTATTTTGTGAAAAGGGTATCACGGAAAGCAGCAGAGTTCTTACCTCTTTGCCTGCATCCCTGTTGGGTAGTACCGGGAGCAGGAGATGCCGTCCCAAGCGCAGTATGGATCCCGAGCGAGGCAGCAATCCGCGCAGGCGGGCCCGTACATGTCACACTGGTGGAATTTCACTTGTGCTATGACCGACTTGGATCCAACGTAGAGCTGTTGCTGGGAAAAAAAACAAAACAAAACAAAAAAAACACGTACAATTGAATTCCTAGAGCTTCTGCTAAAACTTCTGTTACCAACGGGGTTATTGTTGCTTGCCACTTGTGCATCCAGCCTGTGCCCTGAGGGAGGCAGAGTTGCTCTGTAGGAAAATACGTGATAACAGACTATACTCTCCTCAACGAGGATAGAGGAGAGAAAGAAGGTGAAATGAAAATGTTTATTTTAGCATTTCTTCACTTCTGAAGTTTCAGCTTTGTAAGATTTGTGTTTGGATAGGCAGGGGTTTAAATTTCTTTTTCTTCCTCAAGGTAGTTTCCAGTGCCCCTCTCTGTACATTTCTCTGCCACATAACAGATCTGAGGAAAAAAAAAAAAGACTTTACATAAAAGTCTTTAAAGAAAGTAGTTAAAACTTTCAAAAGTTATAAGTAATCTCAATATTAAAATGGGAGTTATCATGTAAATTTGGCTCTTGATACAGCTTATGTTCACATACAGAAATGCACAGTATTACTGTGATTTGATTTGTATTATCCCTCAATGCACAAGAGATAGATTTTTTTTTTTCCTGGTACTGTGCAGTCTTTCCTCACAATTTAACTGGTCATAATCTGCTTCTTTAATATTTATTTGTAGAGATTTGTGGGGTTTTTTACCATTAGTTCTAGGACTGTTCAAAACTTCTGAGTTTACATAAATGTCCTTTCCAAATCAAGTGAAAAATGGTCAGTCCAATTCATGAATTGCTAACATAATAAATTCAGAAGAGAATAGATGAATTTATAGGTATTTGAGAAAAAAATCTTGTTAATGGTGAATGTAAACGGAGCAAGCACAGAACTATGCAACACGCACTGCAATAGCAATTGCTTATGCACAGCTCACTTCCACAGTATTAGCAGACAGAAAAAGGTTTCCTAATGGACAGTTAAGCTATGGTTATATTAATGGACAAACTTAGTCCGTAATTCCCACTCACACTCCAAGCTTTCAAAATAAGCTATTTTAAAATTCTTAAAACTGCAAACTACAGACAGCTCATTTTGTCTTCCTTGCCTACCAGAAAACATGAAATGTAAAACTGGAGGAGCTGGAGATGCTTTAAGACTTTTCCAGCTGAAGTAAACCAGACGATAGTAGCAGGAACTCAATCTGCCAATTGGAATGAAGAAGAAACCTACGATACTTATTTGAGGGGAATTATTTCTTGTCTGCAAAGACTGCAGTGTGATTGTCCCAAAGACATGAACAACACTCAGTGAGACATATGAGATGGGATTTTCTCTTTTATCCTTTAGCAAGGGCGAAGACTTCTCTAAGTCTTGGTTCATCAGAGGAGGGCAAAAAGCATCCGATATCTAGCCAACTCCACATCAAAGAAGAACATTCCTTCCCAGCCTTTGCAGATAACTAGCTCATCCCTGAAACATGATATTTTATTGTACTGCTTACTCAGTGAAGACTGGTTAGTGTTATAAGGACACTGAGACATAGCTGGCAAGGAGGTCTCCACAGGCTCACAAACTCCAAGGTCAAAATTCTTGAGTGGGGATATTACATAATTTTTTTCATATGAATTCAACTAAGTTATACTTCTGCTTATAGATATTATTTTAAAGGAAAAATGACTTGGTCCTCAGTACCAGAGAACTGCATCCTATTTTAATATTGTTTATTCAACAAGCTGAATTTTGTTATTTAATACTGATATTGCTTTGGCCTTCAATGTTCAGGAATTCTTATACACATACAGAAGAAAGTAATTTCATCGGGTAAAAGTTTATATCTGGCTAACCTGTTCTGGCTTTTCTCTGATATCTTGAAAAAGTTAAGCTAATTTTACTTCTTACAAGAAGGTTTATTCTTCAAATTCTAGATTGCTTTGGCAGTGTTTTTTAAATTCTCTCCAGATTTTCCAGATACCTCCTGAATTAGTAGAGTTAGCAAGCTGTCTTGGGAGATAGATGTAATTACAGAATCACAGAATGTTAAAGGTTGGAAGGGACTTCAAAAGATCATCTAGCCCATCTAGAGAAAGACTACCTGACTTTCCTACAGTATCTTCTTTTTACTCTTCAAACACAATCATTTTATCATGACATTGCACTGAGAGCTAAAGAGAGATGTCTGAAATGACTCATTTTTTTCTCCAAATAATCACTTAGTGTTAGACAATCCAGAGATCCTTTCACAGCCATCAGAAAAAATAGATTGATCCAGGAAATAAGCCAGAATACTTACAGCCAAGATTCTCCTCTGAATTAGAGGAGTTTGTTCTCCTATATTACCTGCAGAAAGAATGCAAGCTGACTGGACACTCATACTGAAACAACTCTTGGGGCATACACGCATCTCTTATTAGTGCTCTTTTCATTCTTTATTACTTGTGTTTCACTATGTTTATGTGCACCTATATTGCTTCAGGGATCCAAGAGCTCTTAAGATATAACTATCTTAGAATAATAGAATGTGAACAATCCTGGGATGTTTATAATGGCTCTGTCCTTAGTTGATATGGTGATATGATATAGATATCTGTGATATGGTACAGATGAAAATCTATCTACAAGAATAATAAATTGTGTGTTTATATTACCAGAAACTAGCAGAAACTCAAAAGGGAGTCAGATCTAAACAGCCTAGCCTTTCATGGGCAACTGAATATGTGGGAGAGCCAGCAAGGCTCTTTTTGCACTGATATCCCCATGGGCTTGAAGTCTGTCTGCATTTATCAGCAAGGAACTTTGCTGTGAGCTACCATATCCACCAAGTTAATCCCTACTGTGATTACTATGCCAGTAACTCTTGAAAAAGAATGTTTTTTACTTGCCTTGATAGTGTGAACTAAGGAGATTTAATATCAGAATTGAAAAACATACATGCTTCATAAACAAACAGAGAATATTATATACTCTGTTATATATATGTTATATATATATGTAGAATCATAGAATCGTAGAATCATAGAACAATTCAGGTTAGAAAAGACTCTTGGGATCATCGAGTCCAACCATTAACCCTACACTACAAGTTCACCCCTAAACCATATCACCCAACACCACATCTAAACGACACTTGAACACATCCAGGGATGGCGACTCAACCACCTCCCTAGGCAGTCTATTCCAGTGTCTGACCACTCTTTCTGTGAAAAATTTCTTCATATACACTGTGTTATACATATGCTATATAGCTATGTTAAATATATATATATAGGCCAGGTTGGATAGGGCTTTGAGCAACCTAATCTGGTGGGAGGTGTCCCTCCCCATGACAGGGGGATTGGAACTAAATGATCTTTAAGATCCCTTCCTACTCAAACAATTCTATGATTCTATGATGTTAATATTATAAAAGGATTGTATATATATGACGAGATCTCATTATAGATGTTTATCTGTCTGTCTATCTATCTATCTATCTAGCTATCTCTATATAGTTATAGCTTTGTTACATTTGACCCACAAAGTTCACATTTCAAACTTGTGAAATACTTACCCTTTTTGAAGAGATTTCCATAGAAATTATAGGAACTGGCACCTAGAAAATAAGAATTATTTCCTTGCTTAGAAAAAATAATGTGTTTTTGCTATGATTATAAATTAGGTAAAATAACATTGATGTTTACTTTTTATATTTGGTCTTACTAGATACTTTGATTTTCTTTGAATTCTGATGCTACAGAAAGATGTCAAGAGGTTGTGACTTTAAGAGGTAAAGCTTTAAAAGAGTTTATTTAAAACCAACCAACTAACACTTAATTCAAGATTATCGGAGCCACAGGAACACTACAATTTCCCTGTCAAACGTGACATTAACTTTTGTCACCAATGAATCTCTTTTGTCCTACTTGAGAGTGATAAGTGGAGTGTTCTTTATAAAAAAACATCCATTGAAGATAAGATAAAAATAGCAGGAATTCCTTCTTTTACCATTGTCCTCTCTGCCCTCTGCTCAGATTTCCTGAAGCACTGGCAAGACATAACCCCGATAGGTCTGTTGAAAACCAGCTTTATTAAGAGGGACAATTTCTATGATTTTTCCCCCAGGCAAAAAGTCAATAGCTACACTGCTAGTGCAGGTACCAGGTTTAAATATCTGAGTTTGGATGTTATATTTTTCTTATGGTTGCAAGCAGGTTAGCCTCCTGCTTTATATGGCTAACGTCGTATGATGTGAATACTCACAGAATTTTGCTATATAAGCTTTGCCACATACCAAATATTGAGCATTAGCGATGGGTTACTCTTGAAGAGAATAGAGTTTTGATTCACTAGGACTTAGATTTGCACTTTGTAAAAACAGAGGAACTGACTCACTTTCTGAGGACTGAGCATGCAGTTATACTCTTTTAAATACTTGATTGGGTGTGAGGAAAAAATAAATAAAATGCAAAAGATTTCTAACTAAAAGTCACACTACAATCTCCAAGCGTGTAAAGAGAAAGACAATAGTCCCGGTTTGCTGCAATTATACTTTAATTATAACTGCACCTCTGAAAAGCTTCAGTTGTAAATAAACAAAACCTTGCACAAAACTATTAATTTGACTATACTGAGATTTTTTATACAGTTTGATTCTGTAGAAAATTCAATAGTTGTATATATGCTTCATATTCACCTTGAATACTTGCAGCTCTTCAAGAATCACTTCTTCCATCGATTCTGTCTCTTGATTGTAAATTGTAATGACTTTCAGCACAATTCCGTTATCTAGGAATAAATTTTAGAGGAAAAACAAAACCTAAATATTATAATTGTTGGAGACATTTGTTTGACCTTCAAATGCATTAAATGACTTGCTCAAAATGATAATGAATAGAAATTTTTTAACAGGTACAGGTAGTTGCATATTGCTGCTGTTGATGAGGATCCTTACTCTTAGAAGATAAACACATATGACAATTTGTCCCTGACAAATAAGAGTCAGCTGAGACATCCCTGAGCTGTGTGATTAATTGACTTGTATTTGTCAAATTCTGGGTCACAACCCCTTGGTGAGCTGCAAAAGGATCAAAGAGCTTGACCATATTTCAGGGAGCAGGGGGGAGTTGAGTCCATCAAGGCAAGGCTGTGTAAAATAGCTTTAATTACAGGATCTGGGTGTTTACACTAGTTAAGAAATTTCTAACGATCCTTAATTGCTGGCAGCAGCTCCGTTTCTCCAGGCAAGCATACAAAAACTTTCAGGGCTTCATTATCAGAAGTTCTCACCCTTTTTTACGGAAACACTGAACTACAGTTGAGCTGAAGTATTAATCAAAGGAAGATGAACCAAAAAAAAAAAAAAAAGAGCTGCACATTCAAAAAGTCTAAAGCACGTTGGAGTTTAGTTTTATCAGCCTCTCTGTCACGACAACTCCTGCAGGAAATTAAAACATGTGAATTGCATGTCGTCTTCCACCACTTCAGCTTTGTCTTGCTATTATTAGAATAGTCTTGCTTTCCTTAATCTGAAAATCTGTCATCAACAATGGCAAATATCACTTCCTTTCTTCTGTTACTTTCAGTCACCTTTGATTTAGAGGAAATATTAAGCAGACAAGCAATGGGAAAAATGTTCAGCAAAAGATCAAAGGGGAAGACACAAGGAGGAACCATTAAACTGGGGTCATACACCACTTCTCAAAGAGAATATGTAATCAAAGGCATCTATTTTGTGATGGAACAGCAAAAAGAAATTACATTCTGAGCTCTGATTTTCATAAGTAAATACCTCTTCAAATCCTGCTGACAGGCAGGTGAAAGTTAGCCCTCAAGTTTGTACTTTGATGAACCTTTCTAACCTGCATTACTACCTTAAGGAAACTTAAGGTACCTAAGGAAACTTACTTGGCTGTAAGATGCTGTTTACTTATGTTATACGGCAGGTGTTGGTCTCTTATAAAAAAAATATTAACCCCTTCTGACATTATTTGTCCAAGAGAAGCAGTAAGGTTTTTTTGATGAGAATTTCACCAGAGTAGAGATTGCAGGATTCGTTTTAGAATATCTAAAGCCCAAATTCCTATGCTGGAATTTTTTGACACCTGAGATTAGACATCTCAAGAAGACTAAGTAGCTGTTGGGTGCTAGTCCAGCACAACTTTAAAGCATACGCTTAAGTCCCCTTGTGTTCAACTTCGCTGAACTGAAGGCTTATGTACATGAGTATTTGATACAATATCTCAATCATAGATGAAAGTGGAAAAGATGAAAAATCTAGGCACCATTATAAAATCTGCTGTACAGAAATAAGTAACACATGACACAACATTTTATAAACTACCCTGAGTCCAAAACTGATACCATACGGAGGCTATATAAAAGCTAAGAGAAGAGCATTAGTATAAATAAGCCTTTGCTGTTCTATGAACGTGCTGCTTTTGGATGTTCTCAACACTGAAATATGCTTATCAGAGGAATTTAATTAGTAAAAATAATTCACCACAACTGCTTTTTGAGATAAAATGGTCAAAATGATTTGTGATACCACTCCTGTTGTTAAATTGATAAAATGTGACTGTGTGAATCTTTGGATTTATTCCAGACAGATTAGATGTGACTAAAATCTTGTCCAATTCCAGGCTTCCATCTTATTTTCTTAAATTCTCTTATTTTTCAAATGCCATTAGAATTTTTTTTCTCTATGTGCTTAAAGTTAGGGAAGGTCTATTATATATTTTAGCTTAGCAATATTTGTTTGGTAGATGTCTGAAAGCTGTCTTTAAACAAATTCTCTACCTTTTGAAAACAGCATGAAAGAAAGACAAAACTTGGCAGAAAACTTCTAACAGTTTCTGTTTAAAAAACTTGGGTATTTCCTACTTCCTTCTTTGAGCTGTGCTGTATCCCAATTCTGGAAGCTGGCACTTTCTTTTTATCGATATCAGCTAGACTTGTTATCTCCAGAACTGGGGAAAATAAACAGTGGAATAAAGCCAGTAACTTGAACTGATATTTCGAACGCCATATCACCTTTTTTTCCCTCAGATGTCCAGGTCTCAGCTGAGGGTTCTGAAGTTTTACAAAAAAGGATCAGTTGCTCAGAAATTTAATTTGTTGTTCTTGTTTGTAAAGAAAAGATAAATGAAATCCTATACTTAAGTTTCTTTACCCAGTCTTTAAATATTTCTCTCTATTATTTTTCTATATAAACTTATCAGCACACTGAAGCACATGACTAGAATGACTCCAGTCCTCTGTAAGGTGAAGACTGGTGCAGTCAGGCAAAGAATGACTGTTAAAAAGAGACACTGCGTTAGTTTTCTATTTTTAGATTATACACAATTTCATTCATCCTAGAGGTTAAAATCAATGAATGAATGAATTAATGGATCAGTTGTCTTCCTTGCTTTCTTTGATTTACCTGTGCCAATGAACAAGACATCATACTGCCCATCTTCAGCTTCCACTCTGTCCACTGCTAGCTGTTTAAGATTGTACTTTCCGTCTGTTTTAACTAGTATTGGTCTCTTATGAACAGGCTTGATGGGTTGATACATCAGTGGGTGACTCCTGGCAAAATGGACAGCTTCATCAGGATAGTCTTTAGTGGTAGTGTACAGACCGCCGTTCACCTTGCTGGCACACTGCAAAAACATTAACCAGAGATTATCCTGAAGGTTTGCCAAATAAATAGTCAGAGACAGGTCTTGTTTTCAGGTTTAATGGCAAGTCTGCAGAAAGCCTGGCATAAAAACAGGCACGGAAGATCACAGCAGGAACTGGGACGGTGAACTCTATGTTTTATGCACACATGGATTTTTAATTGTGAGAAGCCAAGAAAGGGAATGCTGAACTGAGCCTTGCGTTGTCATGTTTAGAAAGTGGGAGCTTCTTCCTCTCTCTCTGTCATCCTGAGAGCAGAATAAATAGTGACACTTTCAGATTTTGACAAAAATGTAGTGCTTATGTCTTCCTTAAATTGATATTGAAGATGTAATCAAAATGGCCATTGATGGAGTTAGGAAAAAGAAGTTTCTTATCCCAGCAGAGAAACAGCCGTGTAAACTCAGCAGAATACTAATGCTTGAAATCAGTCTCTAGTGTTACTACTTTTGATTGCGAAATGTATTACCATAAGAAACTAAGCACACTTTAAAATCATGCAAGCAGCAACAGTAATTCTTGATCTCAGGCATTTTAACAATACTACATTTGATTCTAATTCCTAACTCACAATGACAGTATTATATATCACAGTTTAGCTTGAATTACCAATGTTCACAAAGATAAATCTACTGTTTTGCAAAGCAAATAAACTTTATGTCAATGATTGATTAAAAAGAGTTACTCCTTTGGTCAAATGTGCAATTAGGGATAATTTAATGCATTAAACAGAGAAGTTAATTTTAGGATGCTTTGTGAAGGATATAGTGTTCCCTAACTGAACATAGATTCTATATTTCCAATTTGCTTCATGACATCTAATTGAAACCATTTATGATCAAGCTAAAGCTATCTCAGAAACCATTTACTTTCTCCAAATATTCATAAGACAGTGTGGTTTTGAGAAATGTTCCAAGCAAAGCCACAGTAGCAGCCCTTCCCTATTTAAATTGTATTTTTCAATCAATACGATGAAATAAAATACTCCTTATGTTTACTGGAAACAGTAATTTTAAACTTGTGGTCAACTGTAATTGACAATAACAAACTCCTGCACTTGTCAAATGGGACAATGTTTGCTTCCACTTTTTGGGCTTAGTTACAGGGAAGTATTTGTTCAGTGTTGACTTTAAAGTAATTGTCTAATCAGCCCAGTGATGGAGTTTCACTGCCTGTTTGCAATAAAGAGACAGAGCTGGAGCATGAAGACAGGCTGAGCCTCTGCTTTCCATGCACTGCACAGCATATCAAGAGAATAGGCACTGCCAGCTTCCCTTTGCAAAATTCTAGCCCTGGAGAGATTTAATAAAAATAATCCTTCACAGGCTTTTTAGTTTTAATTAAATAAAATGAAGTGGTCTAGAAAGGAAACAGTAGATGCAGCCATTTCTGAAGTCTATCAACACCATTTTGAGGTAACTAATGTCATTCCCAGAAGCATCACAGTCTAGATGCACTAAAAGAATCAGCAGAAGAGGAGCAGAGATGATGGCAGAAGCAATGCTTCAAACAGACTTCAGAGAGCAGCAGAGTCTGTCAGAACCTGTGCAACCCTTAACAGTGTTTTTCAGTTTATTACCTTTAAGCTATACTCTCATTTCTTATAGACTACATCTTTAGCCATTCAATAACTAAGATCAAAGAGTGCTGACTCTCAGAGATGCCAAATAGCAGGTTATTTTTGGCATCTTGTCACTGTCACTCCTATAGTGGGAAATGTAGTGAGATTCAGCTTACCAATCTGCTGACCTTTTCTTTGGAGTGTGAAACCTAACACTGTGGGCTACAGCCCCAAACATGCTTTCTCCTCATGCTACTGGAAAAATGTTGAAAAGACCTCTAAACTCTGCCCTAGATGAACAGGCAGAAAATGAAACAACTAATCCTCTGCTAGCTGGCAGAGTCAACTAGTTCAGCCTCTGATGTACTCTGCAACATACAGAGGTAAAGATGCATAAATTGAATAACACCTAGGAAATACCTAGTTCCACAATTAACTCATTCCATGATATTGGAAAAATTGTGCTCTTCTTTTATATCTGTTTCAGCTTTTTCCTCTTGGGGAGACTACAGTCCAGTCTGACACAAATGCAGCCATTCAGAGCCAAGGGAGACAAGCACTGGAAGTGGCTGCAACTCAGGGCAGCCTTTCTGTAAATTATTGTCAACTTTGCTGAAGTGCTGGCTCAGTGTTCTCTCCTTGTTGCCAAAAAACCACCATTTAATCTTCAGCACGAGGAGATGTCAGTGTAAGGACTGTAGTCATTAATACTGAAATAACGCCTGCATTCAAGGCAAGTCCAAAAAAATATATGAGATGTTCTACTGCCTGGAAAAAAAATGAATACCACTTAAAGAGCTTGGAACATATCATCTTTGTAAAATACAGAGCCATTCTGCAATCCACACATGGTCTTGTCTCATTATTTGGTAAAACTGCAAAAACTATATATTTGCTATACAAAATGTCAAATAAGAAACCAGTAATTCCTTTGAATTCAACCATTTTGCTCAAAATGTGATAAATTACTTACCTGATTTTCTATCCTGACTAAATATCAATGACTTTGATCTACATCAAACACACTAAAAGTATTGTTATGTTATGTTATGTCATGTCATATTACATACTATCATATTACATTACATATTATATATAATTACATAATAATTATTACAAATAATAGTATAATGATATTCTACTATATTATTACAATACATTAATAAAAACTATAATAAAATATTTTAATAAATAGTAAAAAGTATAGCAGTCAGCATTGCTATAGTGGTAGCTTATTGGCCAAACTAATCAAATCATATTCAGAATGTTTAAGTCTTAGACAATCTTTTATGGAACATCCACTTCTGTGTTTTGACTTATGTCTCTAATGCTAAGAAAAGCCAAGGAAAACATTAACTTAAAATGAGCTAGACCTTACTACAGTAATCTTACTACAGTAAGATTGTACTCGCATGGACTAGATAAGCTAACAGAACTTTTCATCTCCCATTCCTGTGATAAATGAATTGTATGTAATATTTATTTCTGTGAATGACTGCGTTTAGTATAAAAGAGAATACTGATTCAGTTAACAAAGGAAAACCAACACTGATAGTAATGCTCTAGCAACTGTTTACTCCACCATTAAGCTCAAGAGAGCAAGCCTGCAGTCTGCAAGAAGACAAAAGAGTGTGAAAGCTGAGGGAGTTTAGCCAAACAGCTCTTAGAAATGTCTTTGCATCTCACAAAGTCAGAAACCTGCACAATGCTGACATGATAAAGGGTAGACATTCAGTGAGTGTAAATAAAAGCATCTTTGCAAAAGAAGACAGGTGCCATGGGTGGGTAAGCATTCCCAAAAGCTAGGGGCCAAAGAAAAAATCGTGGACGTTATGCTTCTCTGAGTTAGGCTGCTCCCGATTTGCAGCAGGAAGGAGAAGGTGGTGGAGACCCTGGTTGTGCCCCTGCAGTGAGATGCTGATGAGCCCATGCAATGCAAAGGGCACCCTTAAACCACGCTGGCAGGTAGCAGGGGTGAGACTGCTCTCCCCATTCCCCAAACTGGGATGTGGGAGTCCTGAGCTAAAATACTGCAAGGACAGAAGCTTCGAAGTACGTAAAAAAAAAGAGAATGAAACAAGAAAAGGGCTTGAGGTGAGGATTACTTATGATGGGGCCAGACTTTTCTCAGTGGTGTCCAGTGATGGGACAAGGGGCAATGGTCACAAACTGGAAAGCAGAATGTTCAAGCTAAACATAAGGAAATACTTCTTTACTGTGGCAGTAACAGACCACTGGAATAGGCTGTCAAGAGAGGGTGTGGACTCTCCATCCCTGAAGACTTTCAAAACCCACCTGGATGTGTTCCTCTGTAATTTACTCCAGGTGATCCTGCTCTGTCAGGAGAGTTGGACTAAATGATCATCAGAGGTCCCTTCCAATCCCTACCATTCTGTGATTCTATGAATTTCTTGTAGAAATTAGTTACCTGTGTCTGAGTAATGAGTTTATGATTGGCTCCAGAATTTCTATCAAGCAAATGAAAAATCTAAGCGCCAGTCAGGAGCAACTCTCTATGTGACAGCACCTATATTGCTGCAGAGTAAGCAACAGCAATTGCCAAATTAACTCAATTTTCAAAATATGTGCTCCTTCTTTTCTTTTTTCATGTCCATTGGCGAAAAAAAAAGAAGTTTATAAAGAAACTTGTGTGAAAAGTATTGAACAGCATAAGTGATTTAGCTGAGTTTATTCTTTGCAACAGTGTTTTAATATTTCTATGTACAGAACAAGAATGCTAATAACATCAGGAACCTGGTTTGAGGGTAGTAAAACCTCATTCTGTGATATCTGAAAGCAAATCAACGAATCGTGAGGATGCTAGATGAATCTTTGTAGAAAGAACCAGCCTTGAGAGAGGGACCTCTGGTGATGGAGGATTTATTCCTTGTCTACAAATTTGTTTATTCTGATTAGATATTTTTGAAAAAATCTATGTCTCATTTCTAACCTGTATACTGATCTAAATTACAGAAATATTAAAATTTGATCCTTTTTGAATGAACTTGTTAAATGCCTTGGTGTCAACAGACAGTAGAAGGAAAATGAATTGTCTTGTGTAAGATTTTTTCCTCAGTAATAATCTTATTTACTTTGGAAAATATTGCACACATCTTAAATATATATATTTTTAATGTAAATATAGGTACATGTTTCTAATTCATCCTGGATTTATCTTCTCAAGCTAAGTAAGTCAGCAGGGACAATTAGTTCTCCAGAAAGTTCCATGAGAAAAAAAGTCATGGTTCGCTCGATGCACCTAAATAAATTTGGTCTTTTATTTATTTCTTGGGCAATTAGATTAAAGTTATCAAGGTTCAAATGCAAAAAATAAATGTCAGCAGACAAATTTAGAAGAGGAGCTATTCCAAGCCCAATAGTAAGTGTGGTTCTTTTCCAGACAAAGCACTTACTGCTTCTGAACACAACACCTAACCCACCTTCTAGAGGTGCCTTTTTCTACCCCTATTGCCTGGAGTCCTAACTTTGGGGCCTTAGGACACAAACACAAAGTTGCTAAATTCAAGTCCAAGGATTTTGTGAACACTTAAATAAATGTATGGTTCTAGTACCTGGTTAAATTTAGTGTTGAGCCACTTTATGCTTTTAGAGTATGTATATATTCAAGTAAATATATCCCAGACTGTGGAATCAGGAAGATTTGTACATTAGTACAAATTTATTCACTTAGCAAAGCAATAAAATATAGATTGTACTTACTGAACCAGGTCTAGGATAAGGTACTTTTCCTTCGTAGAGAGCCCAGTGGTATTCAGGTCCTTCTTTATGAGCATATGGTCCATTGAAAGCTGCTCGGACACTCGCCATGTGGTAAACACATACAGCATATCCTCTAAATATATTGCTATGAAGTAAAATTCAAAGACATTGTTAAAGCAATATATCGCATTCTGTACATGTAATACTGGTATTATTTCATAGTTAAAAATAAGTCAACAATATTCAGGGAGGAAAAAAAGTACTTATGGTTTCCTATATGCTTTTCTTATATCTGCTGTATCCAACGTTCCTTACAATGTCTTTAGTGTATTTATATTTATAATATTTCTCTGAGGAATCTCCATGTTGTTATCCCAAAATTTGTACACTGGCCCTAAAATAATTGTTTATAAACACAAAGAAAGCAAATCAAACTGAACTCAGGTGTTATATGTCTTTGATTAGTGACATAAACAGTTAACCATTTTCCTTCTCTAGGGTTTTTCCTACTGTTGTCACTTTGGAAAGATGGGATTAATACAATGCTGATTGAAAAGAACAGGAGTCTTTTTATATTGAGTGGGAATGCTAGTTTATGTTATTAGATCATCAAGATTACTCTATGTAGATCAATCCAGTTATAAGTATCTTTTTTGCTTTTATATTTTATTTACTCAGTTCTAGAGAAGCAATTAATTATTTTTTAAAGAATATCAGTGCTCCCTACAAAGAAATTTCCTCTGAAGAGTCCAGGTGATCTGGATCATTTTAATCAGGTGCCCACCTTTCTCTGCTAGCACAGGGATACAGTAAGGAATGCTAGGTGTCTGCCTCCCAAGAGGATTAGATCTGCCTTCCTCTATGTCAAAAAAATAAATCAGGAGAGCGAAATAGTGGCAAAAGCGCAGCTGCTCTTCTCTACTAGTTACATCCTAAACTAACAGTGGGATCTCCAAGAAACAGGTACTGGGTGCTTGCACTTGAACTAGGCTGTGGTGAAAAAAGAAGGCACCAACAACATCACAGCTGGTGTTTCAGGCTTCACCAAGAAGCTAGTAGCAATTTAAGCTGCTATCTACTTAAAGTTGAGTTACAGTGGAGCTCTTAAAGGGAGACAGGTGACTGATAGACTGCTCTTATAAGCATGCAGGAGGCATATGTTTTGACATTAGGAAATTTTCAAGCAAGGAAACTTTTAATTAATTGATGATCCAGATACACTGAATCACTGGAGGAGACTTCAAGCCCCTGAGAGTCATAGACGAGTTTTTACATTAGCAAGGAAACTCACTGCGAATAGAATAGGGATTAAACTGTTTATTATATATCTGCTAAGGGATATTTATCATGAAGCTTCTATCTCTTCAATAGGCTGTTCAAACATTTCTCTATTGCTGCTATTATTTCTTTCAGTTGTTTACCTTGTAGTGTTGAAGAGGCCGAATATCACTGGATTTTTGTTATCACGAGTTTGCAGCAAAAACACATCCTCTGTAAAATTCAAATGCAATGTTACTGGTAGAAATCTACTTTTCTCAGGCCTCCAAAAGTAAATTCATTATATATATACTATTTAAATTTAGGTAGATTTTAAAAACCATATTTAGCAACAATGCAATAAGTAAAGGCATAATGGATGACAGTCAATGCTATATGTATAGAACTTCATATACATTGGAAAAAACCACACAACAATTCACTGTTAATGAATACAATATTTGACAGTAAGATGTTTTATTATGAAAGTATATGTTTTTTATGAAGGTTTTAAGTTTGTTGCACTCCATGATATTTACCTAATTCATCAAAATGGGTATCAATTCCATTTCTCCCTGGCACAGAGCAAACTAGCCTGGTTTTGAGGAAAGTGCTCCATTTATTCACGAGCATTCGCTGGCCTCCCATATCATTCTGTGTAGAAGGAAACAAATGTTGATGGTAATTTGAATGAGTAAGTCTAGAAGCACAAACAGCTCTGCTGAATTAATGTCAAAAGCATGCATTTTCAAACCACAGGTCTATTACTGGTATTATTTCTCGGGAGTCAATTTTCACGTAGGATTGCACTGATCAAGTTCAGGTCTCATTAAAAGCTGTGGGTTCATAAGAATTTTTTAATTCTGTACCACATCCATGGATAATTTTAACTATACAGCTCTTGTAAAGCTTTTTTCTTTCTCGTTTTTGCTAACTGGAGTACACTGAGTACACTAGCAAAGTCTATCTTTACTTTATGAGCTCAGTGCAGGGTTAGATCAACACATTTGGAAACTGAAGCCCTGAATCTATCTGTAGGGCTGGTACAGCTGAGGCAAGTCAGAGGCAAGTGTCTACGTGGTGTTTTAACAATTTCTCAACAACTTGAAATTATTCCTGCTTTGCTATGGCTCTCTCATCTTTTTCTTGCTACTGCAACTGTCAGACTGTCAAGAAAAGGGGACACTTAGTACTACTGAGTAATCAGGTTCTATAACCTTTGGGCAGCATCCCCAAAGCTATGAAGTTATATTCACATAAACTGTGTAACCAGCTGTTGAATGTTCTGTATTAGGCTTGCAAGACTGCTCTCACAAATTCATTCTAAACTACTGAAATGAATTAATTTCCCTAGCTTCACACTGAGATCTAACAAAAGCTGAAATCTGTTTTCCTTAGAAATGGAGATTCAGAAAAAGGATCTTACCGCACATACACGTCCCACTCTGGTATATATGGCGTGAGTGTTTGTCTCAGCCTCTAATGCTTTTTCAGTAAAGAAGAAATATACTTTGTTATCATCATGGTCTTCATTGTCAGGAATCATGTATGAGCCAACAAATTTTGGTTCTATAAAAGAAAACAATTCAGGCTTGTTAAAACATCCTCTTATTTTTTTCAATCCTCAAAATCAGTTGGTAGCAAAGAAAAAAACAAAATTAAATAACAAGTGATCTGTCAATCAGCTGCGTAAGTGGAATAGAAATAGGAAAAAATGTATTTTTTTGTATGTAGGTATCTATAGAACATTCATGTGGAATACATTCATGTCAAACTATTTTTAGAGCTCCAATTCACAATTCAATATTTCTTTGTATGTGTGCAAGAAAAAGACCTTTTCCCAGTCCTGTTCTCTAGGGTTTATATATTTTAATTTGGATTAGGTTAAAACCTGGCAGTAATATTCACAGAATAACCTTAGATCCTATACAAGCCAGTTGTAGAAATGTCACCTTCAGACAAACAGCCTTTTAGATAAAATAAAAGCTCTATTACTTCAGCTAATATATGTTATATGAACACATATCTTCGTAGCTAGAAGGTACATAGTGCATGTTTTTCATGAAAGAAAAACCTTCTAATTGTTTCCTGGTTTTACATTTTGCTACAAAGTTGAAAACTCAGTTCAACCTTTAGTCCGTGTCTCTATACCTTTTAAACCCACATTAAGAAGATCTGTGAATGATTTTATCTCAGTGAAGCATAGCAAAGTTTTTACAAGTTCTTTAAATGAGAATATAATTCCTGTAATTAGTATGATTTTTTTAAAAGTAGTGAGTAAAATAAATATTTTCTAATTCCCTGTTTGCTCTGAGTAATTGCATTCTAAGATATTAATAAAGCATTTGTTGATTTTCTGAAGTGTTTTTAGTATAGATTTTTAAATATTCCCTTTCTACAAATTTAAGTGTCGATAATAGACAAAATGAAAAGCAAAGTTTGAGGCCAGAATTTAGAGAATTATATATTTAAAATAAAGAAAATATCCAGAGAGAAAAGAAGAGAAATGTCACTTTCGTACTGTGAACATCCACCTGCTTGTTGCTACCCATATATAGCCAATATAAACATTCATTTTAGCAAAGGCTCTATGTATTAGATTTAAAGCACATGTAAGAATGTTCTAAACATTTATTTTTAAAAAAATATATTTAAATCAAGTATTAGATAGGAAGAATTATGCGGCAGAATGATTTTGTATTCTGTTTAAGGAGAAAACTGTCTTGAAATTCAAGGAAAAAAATGCCCTTTCACTGAATAGATGATGCTCACTATAAGAATCACCATACAAGGCATTTATTGAACCTCCTTGCCAAATATTAACAGTAATTATGTCATTGTTGTGAAGAAATATTGCATTACTTTTGGAGCAAAATACATCAAGCTTCTGACTCCCAATTTCTAGAAAATTCAACACTGAAATTCATTTACATTTCATGATGAGGAAACAATTTCTAAATTTCCCAGACCATGATTTTTCTATTTTTTTTTCTTATGGAATGTTTTAATTTTCTGCTTTAACATTGTCATTTAACTATATGATCATTGTACATTTATTATTTTATGCTATTGCATGACATCTCTTTACTACCAGCTTGGTAAAGATTGAGTTGTTGTATTGTAACATAAAGACAAAATGATCTCATCCATAAAAAAGAATACTGTGTTCTAATGAGAAGGTCCCATTATTTAAATTGAGAATTTAAAAATATTATTTTAATTATATCTTGTATATCATGAAATAGTGTAGAAGATTCAGAGTATAAAACAAAAGTAACTATAAAATTGAAAGATTTAAACCTTTAAAACCAATTAAAAAAAAAGATTTAAACCTTTAAATCCAATAGGTAATGAAAGTTAAAATTTCAATTTCTTGGTCCTGGCAGGGTGTTCATGAAAAATTTCATGGAAAAAATACAGATTAAACAAATTAATTTCCAAATGGATTCAGATGTGCATGAACAATATCTTTTCCTCCCTCTCCTCTTTCCCATACCTTTCAACAGGCGCTCATTATCGGGTTCAGTTCGGAGATGGGCCATGCGGTTCATGGTGCGAAATAGAGCGGCATCTCTTCCCCAGTAGTCACTGTAGAGGCCAGTAAAGAGTTCACCATCTGCAGACCATACGTTAAAAAACAAAAACAAAACAAATGGATTTGGTAATGCTCTAATTATCAATTTCATTGTATATGGTTCACTAGTATTTGCTCAAATTCAGGTAAGAAGGTTACATATAGTCTAAAGATCATATGGATGTTGTTCCTACCGGCACTGCAGCTTTTGCAGTTGGAACAGCATGAGAACAAGAACTTTAAATTTCGCTCATGAGCTTGGCCTCATTTCCAAAACTAACTCAATGACTTCAGGATAGATTCACACACAAAGCAGGAAGGTGTTATATTAACATCTAACCGTATCTGCCACAATGACATCAGCCATATCAGGCACCTAAATTCAAAGTTTTCACTTGTCCTTAATTAGTGCCTGGCCCTAGAGATGTGTACCCTTTGTTGGCACTTAAATTTTCACCAATGCAAAGACTGACCATGGTTCATTTCTGAGCACATCCAGACCTGCCCTGCTCTAGTTAATGAGAATCATCAAACTGCTTGGTCCCAGAACTGGAAGGGACATATTGGGTTTATGAAGAGCCAGAAACAAGAGGAGCCAGAAAATGACATGAAAACACAGCAGAGAATTTCAGAGGATGAGGTGGTGGAAAAGAATAGTGAGAGCTGCACCAGATGACTGGTTTGGGTGACCCTGCACGGATACAGCTCAAAGCTAAACCACAGCTGAATCGACGGATTGGATCTCAAGAACAGTTCTCAGATTTGGCTCTGTGTAAAACATGTCTGAATAAAAGATTCGTTAGTGAAGCACATGGTGAAATATTGGAGGACTGAATGCAGTTATCTTCTCCGATGTAGAAGAAGTAGAACCTGCTACCTTTGAAGCAATTTCTAAAAATGAGCATGTTTTATTAGGCTGAGGGAGTTTTCTAGGCAACTTGCTGGAGCTATTTCACTTTACCTGAAATAACTACAGTTTGAGTATAACTCACAGAATCACAGAAACACACAGAATCACAGAATGTCAG